ATTTTGTATTTACTTAGTAAAGAAGTTTATACATTTTATAAAATACAAACGTTTGATGACTTTAGATTTTATGCACCATAGATGACTTACACCATAACGATAGGTTTTAACAATAAAACATATCAATTTCACTCTTATTTTGCGGTTTAACGAGATGCGTATCGGTATGTTTTCACACACATTTTAAATTAAAGATAATACTATTTTTGTTTAGTTTTCAAAACTTATTGTTATATTCAACCCTGATATTTAAAATTAATTCTTAACGTTAAGTATTGCTATTTGTGGTAATGTTTTCTATCAGTTTTGTTTATTTATCAGCATTTTTTCATTAATGCGAATATATTAATTTAAATTAAGCTGATGTGCGTGCGTTGTTTGTTTGATGCTTTATCCACGAGACGAAACTATTCTCACTTATTTTTTTTTTACACACATGATGAACTGTCGAAAAGCAAAAGATGTTTCCTTGAGTTATAGTCATCTCTCAATTGTGGGGTCTCGCTTGAGCGAATCCTATTTTTCGTTCCACTGCGAAAATTTAAAGTCTCCATATTTTGCATTTTCCAGAAAGAAAGACACACTACAAAGAAACACACGGAGAAATTATAAATCAGACCACAATGATTAACTTATTTGCAAACCAATTGCCGTTGGTGAATCTACCTCAAAGGCCGATGGAATATTTAATTTCGCACGACCTTACATGCAAGCTTCTCACTTTTCGTGGCATTCACTGGCTTGTTCACCGTTTCCCCGCTGCTCCCAACAATTAGTAAAGACCTCGGCCTTACTGCATCTCAAGTTAACGACTCCTACATTGTCTCCTTCACCATCCTTTTCCGTTTGCTTGTTAGACCCATATTAATGATACCTGACGAAACTATTTTCATGATGACGAAACATTCCGTCACGTCATTCGTCAGACGAAACCCCTGATTGACGAAACCTGTGACGAGGACGAAACTAGCGACGAAACCTTCTGACCAATCAAAATAATAGCTAAAATCACATGTACAAATATACGTATTTACATCATGAGAAATCTAGTACATGTGTTTGATTGGCTGAAGATTATAAACGATCAAAATTATGCTGAATTTTGGCTAGCATTACAAAAAGTGTATAATTTTAAAAATAAACCGATAAATCGATAAAGCTTGACTTGACCTATTGTTTTTATGGTTTAGTTTGCCAAAATTGTCATTCGTCCGACGATTTGTCATCCGCCACTTACATTTCCAAAGTGGCGAAAGGTTTCGTGAAAATCAATACAGTCAAACCTCTATATACCGATGTATCGGGGTTCAGAGAAATATCGGTATAGAGAGATAGCGATGTTTTTTTATATTGTGTAACTTAATAAGTACTCTAAAACACCCTTTTTAAAGCGATATTTTCAAAATATCGTTATATATAGGCATCGGTATATAGAGGTTTGACTGTACATGTATTATTGATATTTAAATACATGTATGCATTTTGCGTATTCGTTCATTTACAAAAATGTCCGGCATCAACTAGTATTTTATTGGTCAGAAGGTTTCGTCAGGTTTCGCAGGTTTCGTCATTCGCCACAGACATTTTCAAGATGGTCGTGACGAAAGGTTTCGTCAAATTGACGTGACGAAATGTTTCGTCAAATTGACGTGACGAAATGTTTCGTCATCGTTAACCCATATACAATCGTGTGGGCCCAAGGTGCGTTATGTCCATAGTACTCATTCTTTGTACCATTCCCATCGGACTCCCAGGCATACAAATAGTCTGATAATCATATCCTCGGCGCCTCCTTTGTTTTCCTGCCAATTTTGGACGACACAAATTTTTAGCAGTCGCATTGTCGGAAATGCGAACGCTTTGGTCGGCGGATGGGAAACATGGGGTATGAATTATCTATCTAATTATGCCTCAGATATTCAACTTTTTGATCTGACGTGGCGTGTCGTATTTTGTTGTACCTGTTATTTTTCTGGTTACAGTCGACATATGCATTCTTTTTCTCCGATGACTTCTCGTAAAAGACAATTGTCTCAACATTGGGTTCCCAAGACTTCATCTGTTAAAAAAAGGTTGATACAGAAATAAAGGAAGAAAACTCTGACAAAACCATTGCAGAAAAAAAAAGACAACCCTAACACAACCATTGCAGAAAAAAAACAAGAAAACCCTAACACAACCACTGCAGAAAAAAACAAGGATTTCCTCAAGACGAACTACAACGTCGTCATCCTCATGTTCATGTATGCCTGTAGTTTTGGGCTCGAGATTGCCGTCGACAACGTCATTGGTCTCTTCTTCGTTGGTCAATTTGGCCTCAGTCACGCTTCAGTGGTTTGGGTTTATGAACTTCTTTTCTCAGCCTTCGGGTGGCTTCATATCAGATGCCACCAATAAACGAGCGGATATCCGAGGTCGTCTGATTACGCAGTTTTGCGTCCTTTTCTGTGAAGGCCTCTTCTTGATGCTACTATTATTCTCGCTGTTTCGCATTTGGGTCCATGCGCTGATCATTGATTCTCAAATAACGATAACTGTCAAATAACCACATTAGGTATCTGACCCACCGATCGTCGGAGCCATCTCGATGGTCGGAGCTGGGGGTAACGTAGGTGGACTTTGGCTGACCATCATCTTTAAAGCATATGAAAAAGATATGCCTGCTTTATGATCATCTGAATTCTTTGCATGTGTGTCTCGTTCACCGCTTTTCTTCTCAAGGTTAAGGGTAGGATGGTCATGAATTTTGGAAGCTGATAAATTTGTCATGTGTAGGCAGGCTTTTCTCTTCTTTATATCAGTAAGATTAAACTCAAACAAGCACTGTATATAATGTGTTTTTTGATAACATGTTTGCAAACAATTTGGTATCGCGTGCGTTTTCATTTAGTCATCACTTTCTTTTATATGTTAATATTAATATTACATGTACTATATAGTTACCAGTTTTTTTTGCCATTCAATAACCACTATATGTACATATACCAATTAAACATCTTTTCCAAAAAAAAATGAGAGGTATGTTTCAATAAACTCAAATGCATTCTTGAACGCCGCGTTATTTTTACTATGGTTTCCGATTGTTCGTTATTTCTCATTCTGTACGCGTCCTACTTGCCTGTCGCGTTTGGGTAGTTGTCTGAGCTTGTGTGTGATGATTAAAGTGATCATGAAAATTAGACTTATAAAACGAGCCCGTGAGCACCAAAAAATCATTCTTCCCTATAGATCTTATAGAAGAATGATCTTTTTTTTGGCGCTATATATGGTACAGGAACTCTTAAATCGACAATATGTTTCATGTTAAAAATTCTTTCAACTTCTTAACCGGTAATATTATAGGAGAAATTTTTTGATGATATTAAATTTTGGATTTACTCAGTGTATTAAAAAAAAAACTTTGGTAATCTGACTACAAATATAATCTATTGGTAATTTGCCTATTTGGCATTTAAACCTTGTCTATAGCATTCCATATCAGTACAGATTTTTGTAGTGTTTTCTTCATTTCATTCAATTCTTTCAGATTCATGTTGTTCATCCATTCCCTGTTCGGTTTTGTAGGCGTCATGCAAATAGTACTCGTTACTTGTCATTCTGGGTTGGATCCTCGACAAACCACTAACCTTATTTTTCCTAATTTATCATTATAAGATGAATCAATCTCTTTTTGAACAAGTATTAAAAAACAACAAATCAAACTGTATGTAGTTTGAATAAAAATTTTTTACATTGTTCTAGAAAGCAACCATCACAGCGTAACTGATAAAGCATTTCATCGTAGTCCTGGCTTCTTATTTAAATTGCTTGCCTCATTTCTTGTAAATAAAGCAGTAATAGTCAAAATAAAAATAAGAACATATAATTCACTAAGCTTTTTCTTAACAAAATATGCGTCAAGAAATCAAGTAACAATAACTCCAGTTGGAATTATGGTACTGTGCAAAAAATTATGAGCTCCACGTTATGTCAGAATGAATATGTTGATCAATCAGAGTATACAAAATTTATTGATATTTAAATTTTTTGCATAGATTCTTTCGCTTGTTTACCCACATATTAATTCTAAGAATACAAAACAAAAATCAAATGACCCATGTGTCCCTGACTTAGCGACCGAGCTACGAATCAGAATAAATGAATAAGAATAGCATAATAACTTCTAACAAACTTCTGATCATTCGTTATTGTATTTGCCTATTATATTATTTCTGAGCTTCTTATATGCAAAACTATATTATGAGAACTTTGTAAAATCTTAATTTCATCTTCAATAGTTTTTTCAATAAATAAAGTATGGGTAATTAAGAGAAAAATTAACGAAATTCAAAAATCTCTATTTTAGTAAAAGCATCGGTATGATACATGTACATAATTTGCGATTCACTTCTTATCCATTTATGCATTCAAAATTCATACGTATTATTCTATATTGAAATAACAATGAGAGACGGCGTGGTAAAGTGAATGAATGAAAGAGACTAATATTATGTTTTTTTGTCATTCTCCTTCAACTCAT